TTAAAGAGAAAGAGAGAGAAAATGAGAGAGATAGAGATAAATATATAATATCAACCAAACTTAATATTATATTTTTATTAACAAAAACATCTTGAGATAAATTTTATACTACAAATTCAGTAATTAATGAATTTTATTTGATTGATTTATTAATAATATTTATAACAAAAAAAATAAAATATTTTTAAATTACAAAATTAAAATTAAATCTTAATTAGGAAGATACAAATAAATTTATTTCATATTTAAAAAATAAAAATATTTAATTTGAATTTATATTTTTATTTGTTATTAAATATAGAAAGTGAAAAATAGTAAAAAAAAATGTGTAAGGATAAGTAGGTCTAGGTGGGAGCATTTTCCTCACGCCACCCTATGATTGACTTACTCTGCCAAATGTCCTATTTCTGAAAAGTCTTTGGTCAATTTCTTTCTGTAATTCATTTTCATATTCGGTGACAGTTAGCCAATTAAATTACGCGACACGCGTCCCTACACACCACAAATATTTACTTTCCATTATTTTATTTTTCATACTCTATCTCTTTTATTAATTTAAGAGGCTTATGAAAAACACTTAATTATGTATTCATCTAGAATAACCATTCCCAACGATCATGCAAATTTCTCTCCAATTTTCTATTTCGTTACTTTTCTCAATTTTTTATCCTCATTTCCTATTTCTAAGTGAGATCACTCCTTTTTTTTTGTTGTCAAAATGAGAAAAAATAAACTTGAGATTAAACCAAACTTCTTTAATTAAAACTATATTTACTCCACTTCTTGATTTCTCAGTTTTGCATGTAAGAATAAATTAAAGGAGACTTAACGATTCATTAAAATGCATATTTATTTCGTTTCTTTATTTTTCAGATTGACATGAATGCACCAAACTAATAAATAAATTCAAATATGCTTTTCTTTATTTTCTTACAAGTTAACAAATCCATTATAATTTTGTCAATGCTTTGTTTTAGTAGGATTTTTTAGTTGATTATTGATTATAATAGAACAAAGAATAAATATTTATGTACACCCACTTGCCCACATAGACACTTTAAAAAAGAAAGAGATTGAATAAGAGAAGTGTCAATACAATAAGTGATATTATATAATTGAGATAGAGAAGAAACTAATATTGTAAACTAGGTGTACACACTGTGTATTTGTCCATATATTAGTACTCTAGAATGAATTTTACCTATTATCTTAATATCATTTAAATTTAAAATTTTGTAGATAATTATTAATCTAGCACAAGTCATAAATTAAGATTTAAGAAATTAAAAAAAAAGAAAAAAAAAAAAAAAAAAAACAAAAAAAA